AAAAAAAATAACGTTAAACGAGGTTTTAATTTCAAGTCGCCTTATTAGTATAAGTATCTCAACAAAGTTCCCTATAAGGAGTGTCTAAAGCCTAGATAATACCTTTTTTATATTAGGGGCAGGCGGTGGTGCGCATCAATTAGTGATCCAAATCGTTAGTTGAAAAACCAACTAGATAGTTGACTAATCGATTGGAAAATTTTTTAACCAATTAATTGATTATCTACATCAAATTGACAACTAATCGATTTGAAAATTTGACCGATTTAGAAAATTAGCTTCAATAATGTAACACCTCTGACGCGGGTTTCACCCTATCATATTATTATTAAGACGGGAAATCCCGATCTCATTATGCAGCATAGAAATGATATTGGAATCTTTGCTAGAAAATCGCCCATCGAACCGTTATTACATGAGATCATATAATGATAAGCCTATTTTAGAAAAAAAAAAAAAATCCTTCATAGCAAAACCAATATATATTCCTTTGAAGTTCCAACAGTTCAGTTCCAACAGTTCTCAGCTTTTTGGATCTAGGATCTTATGCACATCACTTTCCATATTGAGGTAGGAACAATCGGAATTTTAATTATGCGTGAGAATTTCAAAAACAAAAGATAACATGACACACATGACAGATCGATAATCGTGAGAAAATTTCCTACTTTATATATATATATATATATACTGTATAGATAGCGCTGATTTTTTGTTTTTTGGGCTTACAAGTTGATTTGATTTTAGACTCCACATAAACCCTACCAAAGATGAAAAAGAAGAAAATCGTACTCTACTAAAGACGAAAAGAAGGCAATTGTGTAATATTCGGAAATAATAACCAAACCATAGAAGGATAAAGAAGGCGCTTGGTGGATAATATATTTTGTGGTGATTTTGGTTGAAGTTGTGGATTATTGAAGTTGTGAACGGTGATCTCAGTTGAAGTTGTGATTTTGGTTGAAGTTGTAGATGGTGATTTTAGATGAAGATGTGGATAATAATTTCAGTTGAAGTCGTGGACGGTAATTTTGGTTGGATGTGAATGTTGAAGTTGTAAATAATGATTTTGATTGAAGCTGTGAACTGTTGAGATTGAAGCGTGAATGTGATTTCGGTTGAAGTTGTGGATGATAATTTTGGTTGAAGTTGTGAATGGTTGAAGTTGTGGACAGTGATTTTGGTTGAAATTATAAATGGTTGAAGCTGTGATTTTGGTTGAAGACATGGACAGTGATTTCAGGTTAAGTTTTGGACGGTTGAAGTTGTGGACAGTTATTTCGGTTGAAGTTGTGGGCGATAATTCAGTTGAAGTTGTGGATAGTAATTTTGGTTGAAGACATGGACAGTGATTTCAGGTTAAGTTTTGGACGGTTGAAGTTGTGGACAGTTATTTCGATTGAAGTTGTGGGCGATAATTCAGTTGAAGTTGTGGATAGTAATTTTGGTTGAAGTTGTGAATTGCTGAAGTTGTGGATGGTAATTTCGGTTGAAGTTGTGAATGGTGATTTTGGTTGAAGTTGCAGTCGGTGATTTGGTTGTGGATGGTGATTTCGATTGAAGTTGAACGGTTATTTTTAAGTTTTGGACGGTGATTTCGATTGAAGTTGAATGGTTATTTTTAAGTTTTGGACGGCGATTTTGGTTGAAGTTGTGGATGATTAAAGTTGTAGACAGTGAAATTGTGGGCGATGATTCAGTTAAAGTTGTGGCTGGTAATTTTGGTTGAAGTTATGAATGGTAATTTTAGTTGAAGTTGTTGAAGATGCAGTCGATGGTGATTTTGGTTTTAAGTTGTGGGTGATGATTTCGATTGAAGTTATGGGCAGTGATTTCGGATGAAGTTGTGGATGGTAATTTTGGTTGAAGTTGTGGACAATGGTTTCGGTTTTAAGTTGTAGACAATGATTTTGATTGAAGTTATGGATGGTGATTTCGAACAAAGTTGTGGGCGGTGATTTTGGTTGAAGTTGTGAACAGTGATTTCGTTAAAGTTGCAGTTGGTGATTTCGGTTTTAAGTTATGGACGGTGATTTTGATTGAAGTGATTTCGGATGAAGTTGTGGATGGCTGAAGTTGTGGATGGCTGAAGTTGTGGATAGTGATTTCGGTTGAAGTT